GTGTCGCCATTTTGATTGCGTTGCTAGTCAAACATTCAAAGTTAGCGGTCGAGCTATGGAATTTGTACATGCAATTTGCATATTAGGCGGGGAATCCCCGGTTGAGGCAAGAATAACACACACATATACACAGGTCAAAGTTTATTTCATACGTTTTTCGGCTTTATTGATGATGTACTCCACATATACGTCATTCAAAACAACGCAATTTCTCAGAGGGTCGTTTACGATTATTCTCGTACTTCGCTGTGGGATTCAGATGCGCTATTACGAGTATTCTCGTACATCGCGTCTTAAGGGTTAATCTTAAGTTTGGAATAAATGTATAATTGTGATAGAAATAACCTTTCAAATAAAATACTCTATCTGGTGTTTTTCTTGCTGTGTAAATTTAAAAAGGGAACCTTATCAAGTTTGTTGCGTTTTTTGACTAACATATGGTGTCATCAAAACATAAACCATGATAAAATTACATTTGCTTTCTGCACTTTTCAGCATTGGAAATAACAAAACAATAACATAAATTTTAAGAATTTTATTTTCAAACTAGATCCTATTCAAAAAAAATCGAAGAAAGACTTTGTGTTAGGAAGAGTATAAAAACTTTGCTGGCAATGCAGCAATCAGTAATGAGGTCAAATAATGGCAAATGGATGAGTTTAGTAACGCCAGTGAGAGAGTTTTGAGTATATAAAGAATGCACTTAACCCACACTGCTATGCAAATGAACGCAGTTTTGAGTTCGCTTTGTGTGTATGTGTAATTTACATTTGTCCACAGATTAATTTTTTGTAGTGAAATACTAACAGTACTTACATCAATTTTGGTGGTTATATCAGATAGCTCAGATAATCTGTTGATAGGATCCTTTACTTGATTTCTAATATACGTCTGAAACGCATCACGTGACCTTTGACCCCTGTATTCACGTTTAGCTACACGACCATTACGAAATAGCTTCAAGGTAGGGTATTTTGATATGTGATATTTTGCAGCAATTTCACCTGCAGGAAAAACAAACAGAAAATAATTATACTTAATATACCATTCTTGTGCACATTTGTAATATAAAAAAATAATACAAATAATCAAATTGTTTGCCTGCCAATTGTTTTCCTCACAACGTCACCACTACTATGGCTTCTGTCGGTCAATATCACAACGTCACCACTACTATGGCCTCCGTCGGTCAATATTGACCATGGTAAAATCCTAATTGACATCAGCCCTACAGTGTTGACTGTGGCTAAACATTCCTAAACGAGAATGACAGTCTTGCATATCAGTGCTAAGAGTGCTAAAAGTTGATTGATTGGTCAATGTAATGTAATCACTCCATATTTGGAATTCGCATTTCCTAATATGGTAGGATGAAAATACCCCGTAAAATACTGCAAAATTATGGCATGAACCCTGCAAGATACTATAACATAGGCACATTTTTAACCATGGCTTTCCTGTGGTAACCATTAAGTACTGCAATGAGATCGGGGCTTCACGATAATGAATTAATGTAAGTTCATAGTTAAGACAGACACATAGAGTAAATGTAAATATGATTACCATTAGTATCACAATCCAACTCAGCAAACAAGACTTCACCGGGCTGTGGGAATTCTTTTCTGAGAACTTCAGCTGCATCACCAAAGACTGGTTTTAACATCTGACTAAAACGACACCTGCAACACAAAAAGATGCATGTTATGATGTATACAATGATTTCATTATCCACCATGAAATTTCCATCTTTATAATGATTAGTGCCTATAGCATTTCATTATAGGTTACTAGCAACAATACAGTACAATTTATTGCCCATAGCATATAGAGTACAATTTATTGGCCATAGCATATGGAGTACAATTTATTGCCCATAGCATATAGAGTACAATTTATTGGCCATAGCATATAGAGTACAATTTATTGGCCATAGCATATAGAGTAC